GCTGCTTACTGTTCCTTGTTGACTTCTTGCTGCTTACTGTTCCTTGTTGATGGACCGCGCGAGGGGGGGAGGCCCCAAACGGGCATTTTTACCACGCCCAAAACGTATTGCCTGAATTGCTCGGATAAATAAGAATTGACACCCCTCACCCAGATCGGCGGGGTCAGGATCCAAAAACACATGGGATTCGCCATATTTCTGAAATTCGGCGGCACCCCTCACGCAGATCGGCGGGGTCAGGGTCCAAAAACACATGGAATTCGCCACACTTTTAAAACTCGGTGGCACCCCTCACGCAGATCGGCGGGGTCAGGGTCCAAAAACATATGGAATTCGCCACATTTCTGAAATTCGGCGGCGCCCCTCACGCAGATCGGCGGGGTCAGGGTTAAAAACATATAGGATTTGCTACATTTTTGAAATTCGGTGGCACCCCTCATGCAGATCGGCGGGGTCAGGGTCCAAAAACATAAAAGATTTACGACATTTCTGAAATTCGGCGGCACCCCTCACGCAGATCGGCAGGGTCAGGGTCCAAAAAACACAAGGGATTTGCCACATCTCTGAAATTCGGCGGCACCCCTCACGCAGATCCGTGGGGTCAGGGTCCAAAAACATATGGAATTCGCCACATTTCTGAAATTCGGCGGCGCCCCTCACGCAGATCGGCGGGGTCAGGGTCCAAAAACATATAGGATTTGCTACATTTTTGAAATTCGGTGGCACCCCTCATGCAGATCGGCGGGGTCAGGATCCAAAAAACATAAAAGATTTACGACATTTCTGAAATTCGGCGGCACCCCTCACGCAGATCGGCAGGGTCAGGGTCCAAAAAACACAAGGGATTTGCCACATCTCTGAAATTCGGCGGCACCCCTCACGCAGATCCGTGGGGTCAGGGTCCAAAAACACAGAGGATTTGCTACAGAAATTCGGTGGCACCCCTCACGCAGATCGGCGGGTTCAGGGTCGAAAAACAAACATGTCCCGACACTGCTTCACGGCGGCGCCCAGACCTCATGATTTAGCTTTTGCATCTCCCATTATCCGAGAGAGGGGGCCGGCGGCAGGGGGCGAAGCCCTGACGGATATTGAATTCCAGAATTAATCCACGGGAAAACCAGCATTTCGATCCACCTTGGGAAACATTAGCTCCAGAGTTAATCCACGGGAAAGCCGGTAGCAGGATCCACTCTGGAAAAAAAAAACTCTGGAGTTAATCCACAAAGGAAGGGTGGATCAGGGCGCCGCCCTGGGCGCCGTGAATTAACTCCGCAGTAAATCCACAGAAGAAGGGGTGGATCAGGGCGCCGCCCTGGGCTCCGTGAGTTGACTCCTGAGTTAATCCACGGGGGAGGAAGGGATCAGGGCGCCGCCCTGCGCCGCGAATTAACACCGGGGTCAATCCACGGGGGAAGAATGGATCAGGGCGCCACCCTGGGCCCCATGAGGTACCTCCGGAGTGAATCCACGGGGGAGGAAGGGATCAGGGCGCCGCCCTGGGCCCCGTAAATTAACTCCGGTGTTAATCCACGGGGGAGGGGTGGATCAGGGCGCCGCCCTGGCCCCCGTGAGTGAACTCTGGAGTTCATTCACGGGGGAAGGGTGGATCAGGCCGCCGCTTTGGGCCTCGTGAGTTGACTCTCGATGTAATCCACGGAGGAGGGGTGGTTCAGGGCGCCGCCCTGGGCCCCGTGAGTGAACTCTGGAGTTAATTCACGGAGGACGGGTGGATCAGGGCGCCGCCTGCAGGCGGCGCCCCAGGCGCCTGGGGCCCCGTGAGCTAACTCCGGAATTAATCCACGGGAGAAAGAGGATCAGGGCGCCGCCCTGGGCCCCGTGAATGAACTCCGGAATTAATTCACGGGAGAAGGGTGGATCAGGGCGCCGCCCTGGGCCCAGTGAGTTAACTCCGGAGTTAATCCACGGGGGAGGAATGGATCAGGGCGCCGCACTGGGTCCCGTGAGTGAACTCCGGAACTAATTCACGGGGGAGGGGTGGATCAGGGCGCCGCCCTGACTGGGCCCAGTGAGTTAATTACCTCCGGAATTAATTCACGGGGGATGGGTAGATCAGGGCGCCGCCCTTGGCTGCAGAGTTATCCCACGGGGAAGGGGTGGATCAGAGGCCGCTTGGGGCGGGCGGGGGGAGTCAGAAACTTTCTGGGGGGGGAATCAGAAGCTTCCTGGAGGGCCTCCAAGAAGCTTCCTAAGGCGCCTCCAAGAGGCCTCCTGGGCGGTCTTGGGTGGGTGGCCTCTCAGAGGCCGCCTGCGGCGCCTCTCGAAAGCCTCATGGGTGGCTTCTCACTCATGGGGCGCATCTCAGAGGTCCCCTAGGGCGCCTTTCCAAGGCCCTTTGAGGCGCTTCTGCCTCTGAGAGGCGCCCCAAGAGGCCTACAAGAGAGACGCGTTCCTGAAATTGCGAGAAACCGTGCGAACAGACCTTAAAACCCTGCGCCGTCCTGTTTCAGAACGAACGCGACGCAAACATGCAAGCAGGAACATGAAGATGAAAGTGTTGTAGGCGGTCTAGGCAATGGTGCTGACCATATAGGCGCGACGCTGGCGTTGGTGAACTTAATGTGGGATGACGATTAAGAAAAAAGGGGGGAACGATAAAAAAATAGTTTCCCACACTGGGGGTGAACGCTCAGAAGTAGGGCTCGCCTGTGTGGTCGCCACAGAAGGCCCACCTCTGCGACGACCACCCAAGCAAGGCTCCCCGCCGCGAGGCTCAAAAGAAAGGCCCGCCTGCGACGACCACACAAGCAGCGCTCCCCTGTGACGAGGCGCAAGGAAAGCACCCGCCTGTGACGACCACACAGGCAACGTTCCCTTGCGACGAGGCACAAGGGGAGGGCCCGCCCTTGTGACGACCACACAGGCAGCGTCCCCTTGTTTGGAATCTGAATGAGAGGGCCCGCCTTTGTGACGACCATACAAGCAGGGCTCCCTTGTGTCGAGGCTCAAAGAGAGGGCCCGCCTGCGACGACCACACAGCCAGCGCTCCCCTGTGACGAAGCGCAAGGAAAGCGCCCGCCTGTGACGACCACACAGGCAGCGCTCCCCTGTGACAAGGCGCAAGGACAGCGCACGCCTGTGACGACCACGCAAGCAGCGCTCCTCTTTGACGAGGGTCAAACAAAGCGCCCGCCTGTGACGACCACACAAGCAGAGCTACCCTGTGACGAAGCTCAGGGAAACTTCCACCGTGGGGGGAGGCGCGCGCCCGAGGACGGCGGGGGGGGGGACGATTAAACAAATAGTTTCCCAGCCCGGGGCCGGTTTTTTCTAATCATCATCCCGGGCGCCGCCGCGTGAACACGACCCCTGGTCATTTTTTAATCATCATCATCCACTAATGATGGCGATGGCGGCGATGACGACCAAAGCCATGTGCACATGATGATGACGATTCTGGTGGTAACCATGTGGATGATGATGATGATGATGATTCCACGAACGGGCATGACGACGATGATGTTACTATTCTGGCCGGATTTCCGTACAATGGCCGGAAACCTGCGCAATACCATCGTTTTGCGCGAATGTATCGCATGGCGCCGCCTGGCCGGCAATCGAAACAATCCCGTTCACAAAAACAAGGGATCACTGCTCGTGTGCTGGTGACGCCCTTGTCGCTGTGGCTTCTGCAGAGCGTAAGGTGTGCAGCGACACGGGCGACACCTGGGCGCGGACGGCGAATTGCTCTGCGGGCGGAAACGAAATCCGCCGATCTGGCGTGTGACTTTGTGAGAGCGTGGGCTTGAGCTCGCTCAAGCTTCGCTCTAGAGAGGGGGGTTGGGGGGGGGGACGAATTCCAACGGAACTCAGTGAACGCACGAGCTCTGGAGAGGGGGGGGGGACGCTTCGCTCTGGAGAAGGACGGAGGGGGGGGGGACGAATTCCAACAGAATTCACTGAACGCACCAGCTCTGGAGAGGGGGGGGGAGGGGGCGAATTCCAACGGAATTCACTGAACGCATAAGCCCCCGGGGGGGCCGTAACTGCGGGGCCTTGGGGGTCTCTAGGGCTGTCTTCGACGCGGTGAAGACTCAAGAAGTAAATGTGATGAAAATGCACGTTTTCCCTGAAGAATCAAACGACTTGGGCCTCGCAAGGCTGTCTTGAGCGTCCTGAGGTTCTTGGGGCGTCTCGTGGGCTGTCGGGATGTCATGCGCGGCCGTTTAGGATCGCTCATGGGGCAGGGTGGGAGCGTCTGGGGAGACTCCACGAGATTCCCGGGTGCCCGGAGGCTCAGCCCGCACATCAAGGATGGGCAACCTTCCAAGGGTACCCTTGCATCCTTGCCTCCTCGGTCCATCCCTGGCCGCTTTGGCTGGCCAACCTCGTTCGAGAAACGTTAACGTGGCACTCCAAGGCCCTGGCATCCTTACCGCACATCCTTATTATACTTAGGTCGGGCCTGTCCCCCTACATGGCGATTTTGGACGAAAAATAAAAACCCCAAAAATACTCGAAAGATGCCCAAAAATACTCAACAACATTTGACCCCCAGACTATTTTTGGACTATTTTTGCACATTCCCCCTGTACAGGGACAGGCCCGACTTCATTATACGGGTTGACTGTATCTTGGACGCTTTGGGAGCGATCTCGAGCCGCCTCCGAGGGCAACCCGGAGAGCGCCCTGGAGCCGGGGGGCACCGCCGTACAGGGGCTCGGGGCCCCGGGGCCGATCTCCCGCATGGTGTACATGCTCGGACCCGCAAACGCTCAACGTCGGCGCTGCTCGCAAGGGCGAGCGCGGGGAAGACCAGGGTGTCGGGCCCCCACGAGGCCCCCAATCTGGCCCAACTCCGCATGCTCACCCCAAACGCCGACCACGGCATCCTCTGTGTGACTTCCATCGGCCGACTTCTGGGCCAGCGCCCGCGTGTGATGTACGCCCCGAGGGCAAGCCAAGCCAGAAGGGCGCATGCACACATCCTGGGCCCAGGATGGGCCTGGCTCAGCTCGGCGAGGTGGCCAGCCAGCGACCCCCGAATGTGCTCGCCCACCAGCACCTCGCGCAGGAACTCGGCGGCGGACTGCGCGACCCTGGGCTGGCGGCGCGGATCCTCCAGGAGCTCCAGGGGCCACGCGCCCCGCAGCATCTCCCGCTCCGAGCTGGACAGCCTCGCCATGGAGGCGCCGCTGGCCCAGGAGCCCGTGGGCTGCCAGAACGGAGGCCCGGCAGGTGGGGCCAGAGGGCGGGGCCGGAAGATCGCACCGCATCGCGCCGATGCATCGCCGATGCTCTGGCGATGTCGGGGCGGAGAAGACCAGACTTAAGTCGGGCGTGTCCCTCTACAGGGGGATTTTGAACGAAAAAGAAACAATACCCTAAACGTGCTCCAAATGGCACAAAAATACTCAACAAATAATCCCCTGAATATTCTTTGACAATTTTTGATATTCCTCCTGTAGAGGGACGGGCCCGACTTAAGACCAGACCCCGCGTGGAGCCGCATCGCCGATACGTCCCACAGCCACGCTAACGGCGATGCTGCTGAACGGTGATGTTGGGAACCGGCCTGTGGGAAATCGCGGACGACACCTCCCCTGCTTTTCCAACGTGCGAGCGCATCGACCGAAAACGACGCAGCGAATTCCAGGAAAGCACGAGCCACGCGTTCCCACAATACCGAAACCTACATCGCCACTGCCTACATCGCTCGCCGTTAGCGTGTCTACGGAAATCGGCGGGCGACGCGATCTTCCGACCCAAACACATTCGGGGGCGGCCAAGAGGGGGGAGTCCAAGGGTGGGGGGCGCAAATCATGGCTGGCGGCATGTGCGCGGCCCAAGGGGGGTGCCAGGAACGTAATGAAATGAGAAGAGACGCCATGAAATCCGAGGAAATATCATGGCCCACGCCATGATATCCACCACCCCTTAGTCATCAACCCCCTCTTGGCCGCCCACGACTGTCCTCGCCCCTCCTCCTCGACACACACCTCGGGTGGCCGCGCACCTCGCCCCTCTCCAGCCCCAGGAGGGTCGGAGGAACAGAGCAACGGAGCACCGGCTCTTGGAGGCCCTCCTCCTTCGCCTCCTCTTCCTCCTCCTCCTCTTTCCGCGGATCTCCCAAGTTTCAGACGCCAGGAGGAGGAGGAGGAGGAGGGGGAGGAGGAGGGGGAGGAGGAGGAGGAGGAGGAGGAGGAGGAGGAGGAGGAGGAGGAGGAGGAGGAGGAGGAGGAGGACCCGCCCCTAATCATCACCCCCCTCTTTGCCGCCCCCGACACACCTGCCCGGGCACCGCTCCAGGAGGCCTGCACAGCACCGATCCTGGCCCACGTCGCCCCCCGGCCCCTCGCCGCGCTCTGGAAGCCTCGGAGGCCATGCCTGGGCCCCCCGGGGCCGCGCGCGGGGTGCCCTGGAGGCTCCTCCGCTCTCCTCCTCCTCCACCCTCCTCCCCCGCCGCCCTCCTCCTCCTCCTCCCTCCTCCTCCTCCTCCTCCTCCTCCTCCCTCCTCCTCCTCCTCCTCCTCCTCCTCTCCTCCTCCCCCGCCCTCCTCCTTCCTCCTCCTCCGCCCTCCTCCCCCTCCGCCCTCCTCCTTCTCCGCCCTCCTCCTCCTCCGCCGTCCTCCTCCCCCACCCAGGTCTCCGTGCAAAAGGGTTACTTTTTTGTTGTTGGGGGAAAGGGATGCAGCGCGACTGCACAGCCTCACACTGCTCGGCCTGACGGGCTGTGCGACTCGAAATGTCGCCATGCAAACCCGGATCCCGACGCGAGCCGACCTGCGATGGATCAGCTCATGCAGCGAACCGTGGCCTGAAAGAGGTACATGGGCACGCTGCATCCGAAAATCCTGCAGAAGGGCCACCTTGACCCAGGGTCACCACTGGTCAGGGTCACCTCTGGCCAGGGCCCCCTTCTGACATTGGGGGCCCCCAAACGGTGTGGTGACACATGTGTGGTGACCTCGAAATCCCAGAAGACCTCACCGCGCGGTCCGCTACCGCATGGTTTTGGGACCTCGGAGACCCTGGTCGCTTCGAGGCCGAGTCCCAGAACCGTGCGGTGACCCCGAGCACCCACCGACTCACCACGCGGTGCGGTCACCACACCGTTTGGGGCGCCCCCGAGGCGGGGCCGCCTCGAGCCAGGTCTGCGACTGGCCTGGGCCACCTCTGGCCCGAGACCCCCGACGTCATAATTTTTGTCATGACGTCGACTCCCGAAGTTCTTCTGGGCCCCTTCCCCGGGAAATGTTTTTCGTCCCGAGTCGTTTCTTGACGGTCCTGGGAAGGGCCCCTCGAGGCCGAAAATCGCAAAAAGCCGCTCGTCGTGAATGTATCTGCCGAAGGGGGTCTGGGGCCAGGGCCCCCCCCTGGCAGCACCCGGCCAAAAAGCCCCCCCCCGGCCGCCGCCACTGCTAGCGGCGCGGCCGGGCGCAGGGACGTCTAGGACCGCGGGGCGACCCGCCCCATCGGCAGGAGGGGGGCGCGCGCGGTGCAGGGCGCGAGGTGCCAAAATTGCTGACGAGAAGCAAAGGCGCACTCAAAAATGAAACCCTTGACACCGCGCCCCCCCCCCCCCCTCCACTCGAATTTCAGAGCTGGCCCCCATCATTCGGCAGCACAGGCGTGAGAGGACAAACAGAGTGGACCCCTCAGAGCCTCCGGGAGGCCGAAGCCAGCTTTGAAATCGGGGGAGGGGAAAGGGGGGGGAACGCGGGGGGGGAGGAACGGGGCAGGGCACGGCGGTGGGGGGCGCAACGGGCACGGGCGCGAGCTGTCGACCCCCCGACAGGGGCGCCCGTTCGAGCGGGGACTACAATCGGAGAGTTGACCCAAGGAACCCGAACGAGGCCCCTTCTATCCACAAGTTGAACCTCGATTTTCCATGGAAAACAAAAACAAAACCCAAGGCAAACTGTGAAGCAATCAAGGAACACGGAGCCCCTCCCCAACGAAAAGGGTTCCTTCTTCAGGGCCCCGACTGTAGCCATTTCTGGGACTCCACCCCGAGAAATCTGGGGGGCCGCACAGGTATTGACTACCTACCAGACCACCCCAACCCAACCCGAAGACTCGAATTTCAGGTCGGGGGGGTACGGGTCTCACATGTGTTGTTTTCAATGTTCCCCGACGCCCCCCCCCCCCGCCTGGAAATGGAGGGCAAATTGAGGCCCTCGGGTTGGGTTGGGGTGGTTCGGTGGGTGGTGAGGTATGGGTGCTGGTTGTCAGCTCATGAACTCCTGCGGGTGGAAGCACAAAACACCGGCATAAACAGATGTTCTCAGAAGTTCGTGCGGAGTTCTTGAATCAACGCTGGGCCCGTCGAAAAGTCATCGCCAATGGTGTTGCACACCGTGTGCAACATCACGTCTGTGCGCTGGAGCCCCGCCACCATGAAGTCCTCGAGCAAGCGCGCTGGGACCGCGAGCGCGTCGCGCGCGGGAGCCTGGTGGCCGCGTGCTAGCCTCGCCCGCATGCCACCCGCGTGGGTGGGTGCGCCCAAGCCCATGAGAAGACACACTGGGCGGGTGCGTCCTTCGCGTCATCAGGCCGTCCTGGGAGAGCCGTGGACGCAAGCGCGCGACCGCGCGAGCGGCTGCGGTGGAGACTTGCTGTCGGCCGAGCATGTAAAGACGGAAGGCGCACGCGTGGCCGCCACGAGAAAGCATTGCCTTGGCGCCTACCCTGGCTCGCGCCGCCACGGCGAAGCTGGACGTGCCTGCGCGGTGGCGGCATGCGCCTTCCCGCAGGCCCCGGCCGGCCGCTGCGGGAGCGGGGGGCTGCGGCGGCGCGCAGAAGCACGCGGCGCTCCTTGCGGCCGCAGCCAGAGGATGCGCGAAGCCCCGGGTCGCTCTGCCCGCAGCCCTGGCCAACAGCTGCGGAAGCGGAGGGGCTGACGCTGCGCCAACGCATGCAGAGCTCTTTGCAGCCTCAGCCAGAGGACGTGCTCAGCCCCTGTTCCTGCTCGCCAGCGGCATCACCACTGATGGCGAGCTGAAAGTAAACAGGGCGCTTGCGGCGGCTTGTCAAAGCGCGGGGCTGAGCGGCGCAGCAGGTCGATGCCTGGGCCTCATAGCCCTCAACAATGAGTTTCGGGGCCCACCCTGCGAGCCTGCCAGTGCAGCGGAACATGAATCGCGCAGACCTCCACGCCGTGGCCGTGGCCGTGGATCACCGGGTGCGTCACATCAACCTACTGATGTGGACAGGCAGTCGGTGCTGGACGGCATCTCGGCTGGGCGGCAGCATTGCCCCATGAACTCTGCGCGCCTGAACGCCGCGGGAATCTGGTACGATCTGGACGACACCGGTCACAGCCTGGCGGGCGCACGGCTCAGCGATGCAAAGGCGCACGGCTCTGGCGCACAGCTGGCGGGGGCTTCGCCCGGGAGCGGCGCAGCGCCCTCGTGAGCCGAAGCCTGGACTCCCGGACCACCGAGGGCGCGCGGCCGGGCGCTCGCCAGCTCTCGGGCCGAGCCCACCCAGGCAGGACAAGGCAAGGAGGCGACGAGGGTGCGCTGCGCTCCGAACTCCCAGGCGGAGCACCCAGCTTCGCGCATCGCGCCCCGCGCTGCGCGATCCTCTTCGCGCTCTCGCGTCGCCCCCGTGAAGAATGGGCAACGCTGCGGGGGCCCAGGCCACGCGGCGCGAAGCGCGCGCGCGTCTCCAGGCGCCCCCGCGGGTGCAGGTTGCGAGCACGCAAGCGCAGCCGCCGCGCGTGGCCAAGAGCTGCGCACCAGCCAGCCCCGCCCAGGGCAGCCTGCAGCGCAGAGCCCACCGGGACGCACTCGACGAGCCGTGCCCAGCACTGAGCCTAGGTCCCGTAGTACGTGGCGTAGATCTCCTTGAGGCGCTTCTGCATGGCGTCGATTCTCGAGCTTGGTCCAAGCCCCTCGAGGTGCGACCGCCCCGGCGGCTGTGCCGCCGCAGGTGCCTCCTGGCCCCGCGCGGGCGCCGCCGCCTCCTGCGCCTGTGGCGGCGCCGCCACCGCCTGCGCCTGCGGTGCCACGGCTCCTGCCGCTGGTGGCGCTGGGCCACGCGACCCTCGAGCTTCTGGGTGCGGCGGGGGACCCTCTCCTCGCGCCGTCCCCCACGGAGCCCCCGTGGCACCAGCTGCGGCGACAGTGGCGGGGCAGGCAGCGAGCTTGGCCTCGTCCATCGCGTCGTGGACCTGCGCAGCGAAGTAGAACGTGTTGCCGACTAGCTTCATGCCCGCCCGCTCGCCCGTCTTGAGGTTCACGGCGTGCGGGTCGCTCTCCTCAAGGACAAACCTGAACTGCTTGCGCGCCAGCTTCCCGAGGCTGAGCACCGCGTCCTGGGGGGCAAGGTGGTTGGCGACCCTTCTCGCCACCGACGACCATCGGGATCCTATGGAGCCCCTCGGTGCCAAGCCTCTGGCCGCTCACCGCGGTGAGCTTGGGCGCAGTGGGGTCCTCCTGAACCGTTGGATGCTGCGCTCCGAATGCCTGGCCGCAGAGGTGCTCGTCGCTGCCACTGTCTGCGAGGACGAGCCCTCTGCGCCCCTCCCCGCGGCGGCCCCCGACCGAGCTCCTGACTCCAAAGACCCAACCGACCTCGTCGCCGTCAGGGCCTGCAGCCACCGCGCCCACGGTCCTCTGGCCTTCAGCGCCCGCAGGGGCCTGCTGGGCTGCGGCTGCCTTTTCGGGGGCGCTGCCGACGGCGCCCTTGGCTTGTCAGCCGCCTTGTGCCAGCAGTCCTTCTCCTTGTGCCCCTGCTTCTGGCACCGGTTGCAGGTTCCCTCGAACTTGGCGGGGTAGCTGCCCTTGAGCTTGTCATTATTGATTCCCTTCTTGCTGCCTTTTCCGCCCATGTCGCCCTTGCCGCTCATCTTGTCACCCCTGCCGCCCCCCGACTTGTCGCCCTTGCGCTTTGGCCAAGGCTGTGGCAGGACATGGCCCGAGATCGCACCGATCTCCATCGGCGCCACGCCTTGATCCACCGTGCCGCTAGCTGCGAAGACCTGTCCCGACGCCATCCACCCTCTCAGGTGGGTCCTCAGCGCCATGTGCGAGACCTTGGCGGCCGCCGGAGCGTTGCGCAGCACGGTCTTGCACGGCCTGGGGCTATGGGCGAGCAGCGTGGCGATGCGAAACTCATCGCCGAAGTCCTTCCCCGCCTGCATGACGTACCTCGCCACGTCGTTGTCCCAGTCAACGAGCTGGTCAGCGAACGGCTTCTGGTCATCCCACCTGGGGTTGAACAGGCCGCTGAGCATGGCCGCGAACCTGTTGCCCACTCCAGGCCCGTACTCGTTCTCGATCGCCCGCCAGGTGGCGAAACCCTCGTGCCTGCCTGCGAGCGTAGCCATCGCCAGCGCCTTGCGCTGGGTCTTGTCGATCAGCATGGCACGCAGCAGCTTGCTCGTCGCTGCCGCGCGCTCGCCCATGCTGACGTTATCCACCGCGACCGCTGGTTGGGCCTCAACGTTGTCGATGAGGTCATCCCAGCCCATCAGCGCGAAGAACGCGTGGGCTTTGATGGACAAGCTGGGCCAGTCCTCATCTCTGCCGCTGAACTCTGGCAGCTTGATGTCGCCTCTGCAATCCACCAGCTGCTCTCTGGGCGCCGCTGCCATGGGCAGCGCACGTCCTCAGTCTTCCCGTGGGTCTGATCTGCGCAGTTCACCGCAGAACCACGCTGTCCGCTACCATGGCGGAGATTACGCGGATGCGTGGGGAAAACGTACCTTCGGGTTTTTTTCCTCCAGCGCAGCTCGAACAAAAGGGCCTGCGGGTATGCTGCGAATTGACGGCGCCCGAAGCACTCAAGATCCCGAACAACATTTGTGTTTTATACAGTGTTTTGTGGTGCCACGACAATGGGCACCCTCACAGTCCTATCATTGAATTTCAAATGTGTTTAAAATGTAAGGAAAATGTCATAAACATGTTTGAACATGTTTAACACCTGTTTAAAACATGTTTAAGACATGTTCTAGACACCTGGAAATTATTTGGCAACATGCTTCCTCTCCACTGCTCGTCCTCCACGAGCAATGCTGATCTGCTTCTGGCTCACATGCGACACCGGCGCCCTTGCACCGCAGCGCGTCTGGACTCCCATCAGGTCCCGTTCTGGCGCGGCTCGGTGCACAATCTTCCGGGCCCTGAGGGCCGAAAAACGAGCTCGCCATCGCTCGGACGTCCATTCCCTGTGTTTTTTTTCGGTTTCGTGCGTGGTTCTTTTGCCCAGTGATCAAGGATCAAGGATGCTCCTCGATGGTCCTCGCCAAGAAAAAGTGCACACGTCCGAGCGATACCAAGCGAGGCCACCGTGCCATTCCTGGGCGAGGATCGACGACGCCTGGGGAGACGCCAGCGCGGCACGGTGCAGGGGGAACCATCAGGGGGAACCATAAGGTACCGATAACGCTACTCCCTTGACCTCTCCTGGGGTGCATTCAGACCAGAATTGCGAGGCGAATCCAGCGGCAGCGACGAGGGCTTCCCAGGAGGCCCCAGAAAGGGGAAAACGAGGCAAGGGTAGCGTCGGGCACGCGGAGCCCACTTTTGGGGTCGTGTCACAATGCCGCCCCCGGGGTCTGCGGGGGGGCGGCGGGGGGCTGTGTGTTCAGTCTTGTTTCAATATTATGTCGGTCTTTCAGCCGACACGAATACCGACACGCGACTGAAACAATACTGAAACAATTGCGACGGGGAAGGGAACGCAACTCGCCACTCTTTCCGTCAAAACGCCGTTCCTGACGGGAAGTATGGCGAGTTGCGGTCCATCCCTTGTCGCAATAGTTTCAGTCTTGTTTCAATACTGTGTCAGTACCCGTGTCGGCTGCAAGACCGACACAAGACTGAACACACAGACTGGAACAAGACTGAACACATGTACCGAACACACACACACACACACACACACACACACACTCACACACCAAGACGGAAGCAGAGACCGAGACGGAGACCAGCACGGTGCTGAAAATCGTGATTGTGAGCGTCCGTCGAAAGGAAAAACCCAGGATGTGGATGCCTGTTCCTCCTCTGAGGCACGACGCACACGTTAGATGCTCATTCTGGGGACCTTCCTGCAGTCACTCGCTCCACTCGTGCGTCGAAGCTGCGTCGAACCTGAGTCGAACATGAGTCGAACCTGAGTCGAACCTGAGTCGAATCTGAGTCGAACTTGAGTCGAACTTGAGTCGAACCTGCGTCGAACAGATCCATTAGGTGGCCCCCAGGAAGGTCCCCAAAACGAGCATCGACGCACACGAGTCGCCCGCGGAGCACACGAGCATCGGGCCTTTTCCGCGCGGCGTCGGAAAACTGCGGCCCGCTCGGAGAGCCGGGCCGGGGCCCGCGGCGGTGCTGGCCGGGCTCACGCCCGTGCGGCGCGCGGGTCGTGCGAGCCGCCCCAGGACGCGGCCCTGCCGACGACGGGCAGCGGGTGGCCCTCGGACGCGGGTTCTCCTCCTCCTCCTCCTCTTCCTCCTCCTCCTCTTCCTCCTCCTCCCCCTCCTCCTCCTCCTCCTCCTCCTCCTCCTCGCCATCCTCCTCCTCCTCGCCATCCTCCTCCTCCTTCTCCTCCTCCTCCTCCGCTGTCTGGGGAGGCGCAAATAGCTAAGCCGAACCTGTCGACGTGTGCGAGGGGGAACGCTGGGTCCGTCGGTTCTGGGTGCTCCTGAGAGACGATCTTTCAGTCGCTTTGCTCTTCCATTCCAGGAGACTATTCCGAGACCCTCTTTGGCGCGCCAGGCTCGTCAACTCGAAATGAATCGAACCAAATCGTAGTCGAAGTCGCATTTGAGTAGAAGGGAAGCCCCGTCCCTTTGATCCCTTCCCCACCCGAGGGGGGTGAGTCCCAGGGGGGGGGAGGCGCGGTCCAGGGTCAGAATACGGTTCCCGCTTTCCTTCTCGGGCCGCCTTCGAGCAAACTTGGCCCTTCTTCGGCAAATCAAATCCTATATGCTCCAACAGGGCCCAAGAGGGCCCAAAGTCGCTGAAAAATTGCTCCAAGACTTCCAAAATAACTTTCAAACGGCCCAACAGAATTCCGATTGAATTCCGATTGGTTTTTGTACCATTTCGGCGTTCTCGCCTCTTCCGCTTCCCGACGCTCCAAGACGGCCCGAGAGGCTCCCCAGATCGCCCAAAGACAGCCCAAGAGGGCTCCAGGAGGGACCCAAAACGGCCCAAGAGGGCCCCAAGACGGCCCAAGACGCCTCCAAGACGGCCCAAGAGGTCCCCAAAACGGCTCCAAGAGGGTGCCCAGACGAGGGACCAGAACAGACATTTCGAACCCTCGGCCCCGAGAGGCTCCCAAGAGGAACCAAGAAGCCCCCAAGAGGCACCCAGGAAGCGAGACCGGTGCGGGAGTTCCGACTAACCCCTCCTGAAACCTTCCCGAGTAAGATTTTCTGAAGTTTTTGCAAGGTTTTTGCGGGGGGGGGAGCGAGGAAGGTTTCAGGACGGTTTTTCCAAAAACCTTCCAAACACCTTTCAAACACCTTCCGAAAACCTTCCATACAAAAAAAAAACCTTCCAAAAAACCGTCCAAAAACCTTCCTAAAACCTTCCATAGGAAGGTTCCAGGAGGGGTTGGCTCAAAAACCGTCCAAAAACCTTCCTGAGGAAGGTTTTAGGACGGTTGTTTGGAAGGTTCCAGGAATCCTGGGAACTTCCTGAAGAAGGTTGAAAGAAGGTTAAAAAAACATGCAAAAACCGTCCAAAAAACCTTCCAAAAACCTGTGGAAAACCTTTCAAAACAACCGTCCTAAAACCTTCCTAAAACGTTCTTCAGTTTACCGGAACCGCCCGTACATCCCAAAAACCTTCCAACAACCTTCCACAATACCGACCACAAGTCTTCCAAAAACCTTCCACACACACACACGACAAAAAATTTCAAACACCCGCCAAAAACCTTCCACAACAATCTCCAGAAACCTCCCCAAAATACCTTCCAAGAAGGTCCCAGGAGGGGTTGACCAAAAAACCATTTAAAAACCTTGCGGAGGAAAGTTTCAATAATGTTTTTTGGAAGGTTCCAGAAATCCCGGAACCTTCCGGAGGAAGGTTTGAGGAAGGTTTGTCCACATCATCCTGTGGCATTGGGCCCTCGTTTTGAAGAGACGGCCCCCGCGTTCCTTTCCTCTTCCCCCCCTCTTCCCCCCCTCCTCTCCGCCGCCCGCGCGCGTCCCCCACGCCCATTTCGCCACGTCCCTCACGCGTTTCGTGGTCCCATAGGGAGCTCCACCGCAGCCCCCAGTGGGACCGCCCGCGCGCGCCCCCCACGCCCAATTTGGCATTTTCCCCCACCCAGTACAGCGTTTCGTGGCACCATAGGGAGCTCCACCGAAGCCCCCCGTGGGACCGCCCGCATGCGCCCTCCGCGCCCAATGTGGCATTTTCACCCACCCAGTACAGCGCTGCCTCGTGACCCCTTGGGGAGCTCCACCGAAGCCCCCAGCGGTACCGCCCACATGCGCCCCCCCCACATCAAAGTTGGCATTTTCACCCACCCAGTACAACGCTTCGTGGCCCAATAGGGAGCCCCACCGCCCACAGAGTTATCCAAGAGACGACCAGGCTCGCCTCCCAGATGGTTAGGATGGCGCTGCATTGCCGCCAAGATGATCCAAGACGCCCTCAAAGACGGCGAAAATGACCCCGTCTGACCTAAGATGGCCCCAAAATGCGTCCAAGACGGCCCAGGATGGCGGCAAGAGGCCGCCATGAAGCCTGAGGAGGCTCCCATATGCCCGAAAAGGCTCCGAAGCGGTCTACTCCTCCGTCTCCTCCGTCTCCTCCTCCTCCTCCTCCTCCTCCTCCTCCTCCTCCTCCTCCTCCTCCTCCTCCTCCTCCTCCTCCTCCTCCTCCTCCTCCTCCTCCTCCTCCTCCTCCTCCTCCTCATCATCATCATCATCATCATCCCCCCTGGTTTCCTCTTCGTTCTCCTCCTCCACCTGCACCTCCCCCTCCTCCTCCTCCTGCTCCTCCTTCTCCTCTTCCTCTTCCTCGTCCACCTCCTCCTCCTCCGCCTCCTCCTCCTACCTCTACTGAATCCCCCCACCTCTTCCTCCCCCAGCGGCTGTGAGAGCACATAAGCAGATAGCTTGACCAAGCTCCTCATCATGCGCTTTTGGGAACCTGATGGGGCTTCAGGGGAACAATTCGAGGAGTCTGGTCCCAACTTTCCCGAACACCTCCGGCTGTCACCTTCATCATGGGGGTCTTCTTCCAGGGTCGGCGGCACTGGCCGGAAGGCCCTCACAAAGAATAGGCACAGTTCAAGGACTCCACAGTTTCTGGATCTTCGTCTTCCTCTCCACTTCCAACACTCGTCCATACTCTCCTGGGAATGGACGCTTGTCTATGTCTGCGCCTGTCTTCCCCCCCTGAGCCTCTGCTGTTTCTGACCGGCTGGCAGGCTGGGCTCAGTCTGCGAGGAGAGAGCGCTCTCCCGACCCGCCCCGCAGGCCCAGCGGTGCCGCGGCCGCTGTGTCCCAAGGGTCCTGGGACGCCTTGGGCAGGGCTGGACCTAAACGGTGTCTTTGGCGACTTCGTGGGCCGTTTTCGTTCCGACTTCGTTTTGAGTTTTGCGGTAAAGGCGGACTCGAAACAAAAGCGAGGGAAGACGAAAACAGAACGAAAGCGAAAAGCACCGTTCAGGTTCAGCCCTGTCCTTGGGTACGGCTGGACCTGGGACGGAACAACCTCCTTCGAGAACAGGAGGCCCTCCGCCAGCCCACACGCCCCAAGCCGTGCGATCGCTCGAGGGTGCCCGCCCCCAGGATGCACAGGAGCAGCCAGCGAGCGGGTGCCCTCCTCGGAACCGACCTCGATCTTGCCCAGTCGGGCCGCTGCAAGAAGGAACGCTGAACAAGGAACGAAGTCCCCGCCTGGCCCTGCAAGCGCCTCCGTGCCCCAGGAGGGCAAGAGGAACAGCACTGGAGGAACCTAAGGAACATCGAGCCCCTTCCGAACCCTAACTGTTCCTTATTTCAGCGTCTTGACTGTAACATTTTGGTCGGCGTTGGGGCGATCCTGCTGCTCCCCGGGGAGCCCGTCTCGCGCTCTCGGGTGGGGAGCGCTCTGAGCAGAATCGCCCCAACGCCGACCAAAATGTTACAGTCAAGACGCTGAAATAAGGAACAGTTAGGGTTCGGAAGGGGCTCGATGTTCCTTAGGTTCCTCCAGTGCTGTTCCTCTTGCCCTCCTGGGGCACGGAGGCGCTTGCAGGGCCAGGAAGGGGCTTCGTTCCTTATTTAGCGTTCCTTCTTTCAGTGGCCCGACTGTAGAGGAATCACATCGGCAAGCCCGGCAGAGGCCTCGGGGAAAATATCTTTTTTTATGACCAGGCGAGATCTCTGGATGCCAAAACATATTTGGGAAGTTAGCAGTTTATGTGTGATTCGTCAATAAAAAAACAAAAGCTGCTGACTGTGTTGTGCTTGCTCCGCAGATTTGGGAGTCAGCAGCTTGTGTGTCTGATATATCGGGTAAAACGCACTATGCTGACTGTGTTGTTTTTTCAACAGACTTGGGGAGTCAGCAGTTTGTGTGTTGTGGAAAGAACACACAACGCACAAACTGATGCCTGTGTTGTGTGCTTTCCCGCACACTTGGGGATTCAGCACTTTGTGTGTGTGTGTGTGTTTGTGTGTGTGTGTCTGTGTGTGTGTGTGTGTGTCTGTGTGTTTTTGGTGATGATGGAGAGGAGGGTCGGCCGCTGAAGGGGCGCGGCCGCTGGTTTTGAGCGGATGTTGGTCGGGAGCTGGGCGAGAGAGAGGGGGGGGGCCCTCGGAGAAGTCGCCTCGCCTGGCGTGGCAGCTGAAGGGCCCCTGACCCTTTGTAGGCAGAGGGATTTCGTCACTCCCCATCGAATCCCCCTCCTCTTCCTCCTCCCCATCGAATCCCCCTCCTCCCCATGCGAAGTTCCCCCCTCCCCATCGAATCCCCCTCCTCCTCCTCCTCCTCCTCCTCCTCCTCCTCTTTATATCCTCCTCCTCCTCCTACTCCTCCTCCGATTCGCATCACGTGACGGATCCAGGCCGCCGACTTTGGGAGGGGGGACCTAAGTGAGGAGGGCCAAGAACATTAGGGACAAGGGGGCTTTTCTTGGAGGTCGCTGGGAGGGCAGCCTCGTTTCCAGGGCAAGATCCCGATAAGCTCGGCCAGCGCGCTTGATCCGGCAACAGCAATCCTTACGACTCCCATTCGCGAGAAGCTCAGATCTTAGGTTTGCCCTTAGCGACGATTGGGCTGCATAGGTTTGTGTTTACCCCACGAGCACTCCCCCCTCCTCCGTCGCGTCAGAAACACAGATCGCGCTGCCCCTCAGCGAACTTCAATATTGTCCTGCAGATGTGCCGCACCAGACCGCCCAGCTGATTTATCCCTCATGCAAAGACGGGGACTCAAGTGAGGCCACGTCTTCACTGTGTCATCAGGGTTAGGGATTCTTTTACTCTCGATGACTGCCTCTTCGAAGGCCTCCTGGCTTCTCAGAAACCTCTGAGGAAGCAAAGGCACAGTCCTTCCGAGAGGGCCCCTGCCAACTCACAGGACCACCAGTCTCGCCCGAGCCCCAGTTGCGAACTGCCAAGCCTCGGTGTTAAGGACAACCTTCTCCAGGTCGAAGGGCTGCTCGTCAGCGAAGAGGAGGAACAGATACTTGAAGGTCTCGCTGAGGAGGAAAGTCTCCATGCGGTCCCTCTTCCTCGGCTCCTCCGCCTCGCGCACGTCCTCGATGCCGCAGTACCCGCCCCCCTCGAGGCGTCCGTACTTCTCGATGGCCTCGAAGATCTGCCAGCCCCAGTCCTGGTACTTATTTTTTGTTCTCTGCGTGCGCGGCGGGGGCGAGGTGACCACGGGCGCTGGCCAGCAGGCCGGCTCGGCCCGCACAACAACGACAACAACAACAACAACAGCAACAACAACAACAGCAACAGCAACAACAACAGCAACAGCAACAGCAACAACAACCGAAGCAGCAGCAGCAACAGCAACAGCAGCAACGACAACAAACAAACAAAGACGGCCCCAGTCCTGGTACTTGGTGTCGTTGGTGGCGACGTACATGTACCAGAGGGACTCCACCGTCTCCGGCCGCAGCATCGAGTACCTGGCGGCGCCTGCTTGGCACGAGCGGGCGGGCCTCCGAGAGAGGCGGGTCCTGGACCCCGGGGCCTTCCCCCGGGCGTCGTGCGGTCGGGGTGCGTCCTCCTCCCTCTCCTCCCCCTCCTCTTCCGTGCTCCTCCTCCTGCTCCTTCTGCTTCTCCTCCTCCTCCTCCTCCTCCTCCTCTTTCTGCTCCTCCTTCTCTTCCTCCTCCTCCTCCTCCTTTCCCCCCTCCTCCTCCTCCTCCTCTTCCTAGCTTCTCCTCCTCCTCTTCTTATTCCTCCTCCCCCCCTCCTCCTCCTGCCTCCTCCCAGAACCAGCCTTTCATCCTCAGCAGTTTTCCGTCACCCTCGGGGCCCAGAGAGGGCCCCATGCAGGAGCCCGAGAACGGAACACCTCTGGATCCATTGCCCTCATGATCGGTTGAGCTTCGTGGCGAGGCGAGGCGCCAGCATACGTCCAAAGGACGGCCCTACGAGAGCGCGGCGGCTGGGCCGGAGCCGGGGATGCACTTTGGATTCCTGTGATTCACGAGCGTGAGAGTTCGCGGAGGAGGAGGAGAAGGAGGAGGAGGAGGAGGAGGAGGAGTGAGGGCGACGACGACGACGACGAAGAGCAAGAATCGGCACAATTTGCATACAAACCTACATTCCGGACGAGGCCATTGAGCTCCATGCCCGGTCAATGCAAACCCGGGTCGATCAAGCATTGCAAGATTCTGCAAGATCCTGCAAGATCCTGCACCCAAGCCCGGGTCAGTGCGACCCTGGCCCTGCAGGATCCTGCAAAATCCAGCGCTCTGTCTGACCCCCGTTTGCATTGACCCCCGTCTCTTGAGCCCCGACTACCCCGCGCGGCTGATCATCCGGGACTGATTTTGACAGCCTCGGAGCCCAGAGCGGCTGACCAAAGGCCGAGAACTGCGAAAGAACTGCTCGAACCTCCTCGACCGTCGATCGTCGAGGTACGGCGCGTCGTGCATCACGCCCAGGTCGTGGTCGCGCCCCTCCATCACGTTGAACGCAGAGGCCTCGGCGGCGAGGCTGGCGAGACCGACGCCGGCGACGAGCAAGATGACGCGTAACTCGACGGCGACGACGACGACCGCGGCCCCGAAAAACTCAGGAACCTGGCCGCGACCACGAGAGCGCACCCAGAGGCCAAAGCAGGCCCCCGAGACCACCTCGAGGGGAAACCAGCCGTGGCCAGGAGGACAACCCCGGGTTTCCCAAACGGGCCCCCAGAACCTCGAGCCTCGATCCCTCGAACCTCGACCGTCGCAGGGCTGAACCTAAACGGTGGTTTTCGCTTTCGTGCTGTTTTCGTTGTCCCTCGCTTTTGTCTCGAATCCGACTTTACCGCAAAACGAAATCGGAACGAACACCGCCCACGAAATCACCCAAAACACCATTTAGGTCCAGCCCTGGATCGTCGACGACAACGATCGTCGGATGACCACTTGAGATGACGGCGGCTCTCCCGCTGGGCCCAGAGCCGCTCAGAATCGGCTCCCAGACCACTCCCAGGCCTTGATCGACGAGTGCGTTCCACTACTCGCAAAGTACCTATTCGCAAATGGCCTGGATCCCTCGCTGGGGATCCACGATCAACTATATCAAAACAGACAGGTGCTTTTCCGACGTTTGCGAGTAGGCACTCTGCGAGTAGTGGAACACGCTCGGGGACTTGAGTCCACCCCGACCAGTTTTTCAAGCTGGACCCAGCCATGGCGCCCAGAAACCTCACAAAGAGATCTCGAGAGGCCGGCGAAAAAAACGCCCAGGGATGCCACCGCTGCCCCGCCCGGCCCTCCCCCGAAATGGCTATGTCTGTGCCGAAGCGCGGCCCCCAAAAGACCCGACCCCTTCACTCTGGGAGCAGTTCTCGGAGGACCCGGAGGAGGAGGAGGAGGAGGAGGAGGAGGAGGAGGAGGAGGATTTTCCTCGGGACCGCGATGCAGCCCATGTACACCCCCTGGGTGGGCGAGGCCCAGGGGGGAGGCCGCCGACCACAGAGGACGGAAGGCTCGAGAACCGCGAGGGGTGGGTGTGCCTGGGCGCTCCACGAGACCAGGCAACAGAGACCCACCCCTGGGCGGCCCCTCACAGGCCCGTAGGACCCAAGGGGGACCTACTACACCTGGACGGGGGCCGACGGCGCGCCAGGCAGTGGCGCCGCTGCCGCGGAGAAAAAGGGCCCACGTGCCAGCCCGTACCGACCAATTAGGCGGGGGCGACACGGGCCACATGCCCTCGACTGCACAGAGGGCAAGCAGCGGAGGGCTGGTGAAAACGGGGGGCGACCCCCGTCGAACACCAAAAGGAGCAAGCCAAGCGAAGTGCGGCCAACACGAAACGCGCACGCACACGCACACGACCACGAACCCAAGAGAACGCAGAGCGCGCCTTCCCCCAACAATGGGGTGCCTGGCATGCGTGCAACGGAACGGAATGCTGGCCGCAAGAACGAGGCCCGTCCCAAGTGCAGATGCACCTGCACGACAAGACCTCGCCCCAGCACACAAAAAGCAAACAAAAACAAAAAAAAAAAAAAAAGAGAACCTGGCAGGCCCCCACAAAAGTCGGCGGGCCTCCAGCCCCTGGTGCAGCCAGCGCCAGGACGACTGGAGGCACACCCGATGTGCGAGGCGGCCAGCTGGCCATGGCCAGAGACAAGCGAGCCGCTGCAGCTGCTTGCAGAATTAATTGGCAGGGAAGATTTGACGTGTAAAAGTCCACCGTGGCGGACGAGCAAGCCAGCCAACCTGGCAGAAAGTCCTGACAATTCGACAAGCATCCAGCGCAACAAGGGGACGAGAGAAACGAGGTCGCCATGGGCGACGACCTCAGACAGTGCCAGAGACGCCCACTGTGCAGCTGTCACCACAGGGCCAGTACCCCGTGGCCGCGCACAGCAGGCGAGGGCCGTGCCACTGCAAGGAAAGACTGCGTCACACGACCCATGCGGCACAACGCGACATGAAAGAACAGAACAATACTAAGAGAGAGACACACACAGGCTCCCGCAAAAGGACGGCGGGCCCCCTGCCCCTGGTGCAGCCAGCGCCAGGACGGCGGGGGCACCACCCCAGATGTGGGACAACCCCTAGAAAAGGCAGACCGTGTCAGTATCAACAGTGACCCCAGGCCGCTTAGGGTGGAGCCCGCGTTGCAACTTGACCCACGGATTGTTGTGCGCCTTGATATCCTCGGGCTGGCAGACTTTGGCCAGGTTAGCCAACCGGCCGCCCGAGGTCATGTAGTTGCACTTCTGACACACACACAAGAAAGAACCATCATAGCAATCCATTACAGCACAGCGGTGGCCAAGGGACCTGAGGACTGCAGGCTGCACTCTCAAAACCAAAGTGCAAGAGCCCCCCTCAGGCCTAACGAGGTGAGACCCCCGCTTCCCTCGGAGACATTCTGAGCACTGCCAAAACTTGCCAGCCCACCCCCAAACGTGGGGCTTGGAATCCTTCTCGGCCGACGGGCCCTTGACAGCAGGCACACGGTCCGCGTTGGGGCCCAACTCCAACTTCGGCCAGGAAGGTAAAACTTTGGCTGCAAGTCGGGCCACCGCCTTAGCCACCGCGATACTCCGATCAAGACCCTCAGACTCCGACGGGGAGGGCATAGGATGCAAGGACAAAGCGGTCTTGGCGGCCTCATCGGCCCAGGCGTTTCCCTGGCGGAGGTACCTGTCCCAGGGATCGTCTGCGGCCTCGATGTCAAGGTGAGCCTTGACCTTGACAACGGTGATTTTCGGCCAATGCTCACGCACGAATTGGGCGATTCCAGAAAACATCCTTTTGGCAGAACACTGTTCCGCCCAAGGGAGGTCCGCAAATTCCACGACATTAAGACAGTCCGAAAAGATAGAACAAGGACCTGTGGTCCACTGCACCGAAATGGAAAACGCAAAAAACTCGGCCGCCTGGGGCGTTTGCGGGCACGGGGCCCACACAGGCCCAAGGACGCGAACAATCAGCTTCAAAGAAAGCCTACAAACCAGGGTGAAGGCCCAGGCAGCTCGGTTTAACTCGCGAACAACACACCGAGAACACGACCCATCAACGAAGATGTCCCCTTCGAAGGCGTACGACTCCAGGTCCTCGGGCCCACCATCCAGCCATTGAACCTCAACACCTCCAGAACTCCTAGCTCCAGGAAATGAATCCCCAGGATGCGGAAAGATCCCGTAGCACGCCAAGAGATCGTCCGACTCCGAGGCCCATTCCTGCACTTTGATCGAGACGCACTCGTCCCGAATGTCGGACACACTCGGGCACTGCCACAACCGATGCCTTAGTGTGTCGACTGCACTACCGCACAGTGGGCAGCTCGTCGACGGCAGAATATAACCTAAGCTGGCGGCACGGTCCCGAGTATAAATGGCCTGGCAGGTGAGGGCGCGCATGCAGCCCTTCTCAAACAAAGAGTACCTGGTGGAGTTCAGGTAGGCAAAAGCACCATCAACGCATGCCCGACCATCCAAGTTGAACCTGGCTCCCAAGTCCCACTCGAGAGTCCTACGGACGGCAGCTCTGAGAAGGCTTTTGACCATCCTGGGGGAAAACTCAGTGAGGACCACCTTAAGCCCCGTGTCCGTAATCAACGTAGCGAAACTGGGCATACTCCAAGAGATCCTCTCGAGGGACTTCCTGAGGGCACTGACAGGACCCCCAACACTCCTCCACAGAGGGCTTTCCCGAGAGAAAACCGAGGACCAAGCCTCGTTCAGCTCGGGAAGCGACAGGGCGTGACGGTAAAGACCCAAGTGGGAAGTCCACAGCTCTTTCGACCACCTCACAATGGGAGACACGGCAGAGTACCACGTCGGGTCTTGATGGGCTAAGAGCAAGGTGGTGAGGCTTCGGCCCTTGGCCGAAGGCTGCAGCACCGAGCCAGCAAGCTTCCTAATCTGCCACAGCTCATAATCTGACACCCCGTAGACCTCGGAGCCGTACAGAGTGGAGCTGAGAGCTCCCGAGGCCCACACGGCCTTGGAAGCCCTGGCACCAACGGTGGGACGGAAACGCGCCAACCTCTTAGTGAACGCCCGCGCCTTGGTCTCCCTGAACTTTTGCTTGCTGGAACGTCCCTTGACACGCCTAGGGCGGCCGACAGCATCGTCCACACCCAGATTGGCAGAGGCCGCGACCACCGGTCCAGCAAGCCCGCCGAGTCTCCGACCGAGCTGCAGGGCCAACTTGCGCGAGGAACAGATCAGCGATCGCTTCCCTTCCTCCCGATTGACTATGGCCCCGACCCCTTCCTCAAACACACTGATGAGGCGCTCCGCACTCGGCGGCAAGCTCAGCAAAATGTGCTCGGACGTGCCTGTGCACGACAAACCCGAGTCGTCGATGTACAACTTGAAATGAACCTGCGACGGCAGCGAGACCTGATCAAGCGCCTGGATCGAATAAACTCTGATCAGCGTCGTCGCAAAGGGGCATCCAGCAACGATGCCCCTACGGGCCCAGTAAGGCCCGTCCACAAAACCCGAGAGCCCGAAGAACCGAGGCTGGAGATACATGCTCACCGCAAGGCGAGCCAACCCCATAGGGAACCCAACTTGCCGACACCTGAACAACAGTTTATTCAGATCAATGGTCTCGTAGTACTTATACAAGTCCAGCAACACGGTGGCGGCCTCGCCCCCAGCGCTAGTGGAAGCCTCAGACCTAACCGACTGCCTCCAAACCACGTCCAAGGCCCCTTCGAAGGGCCCAGCGGCAAAAAACTCCCGCGCGTTTTGAAACTCCCAAACCTGGGCCAGGGGCCTCCTAACTTTCCCGTACACACGGTACAGGGCGCAGAAGTTCCCAATCGGGCGGAAACCAGCCGTGGCCTTGGGGATGAGGGACAAACAAATCACAGAGATTTGAGACGGGACAAGAGCGGACATTTCCATGAGATAAAACATCGACACGAGCGCAGAGAGCGTAGTGTCGCTCATCATGTGGAAATGGCGCATATGAAAGCCGTCGACAGACACGCTGGTGTTATCCCGAAACTTCCTGGA